GGGAAAGAAATTATAGAAATTATACTTTTATTTAACAAGGATGCTTAAAATTGATCAAAAGTGATGATAAAGGCATTATGTCACAAAAGATTTCTATTTCAGATAAATAGTGTTCATATCGATATCGGAATTATATCGTATCGACCGAAATTAAGAAATATATTGTGATATCAATTTTGGCCATATCGTCCAGCCCTATCTACAACACGCACTGATAACTGGCAAAAAGTTATTGGTTACAGATTAACAGAGTTATTTCAAACTATGCAAACCAACATGAAGCATCCAAGTATTACACTCGGAGTATTGCATTTATTCTGAAATCTGATTAAAGATTTATGCTTTGCAACATGTGAGCATATACCTTAATTTTCCTTTAGATATTCGCTAACTGCAAATGCTTCAACAATGATCTCGTTAACAGCATGCATTTTGAAGCAGTTAATGATTTAAATGTTGGATAAATTAATTCAACAACATACATAACACTTTACTCCTATGGAAACTTAATTTCTAGTAAAACGCCATAGAACTTGCACTGTTTTGAAGAGTCTGAAATAGATGATGCTCAATCAGGGGCCAATTGCATAAACATAGCCGCTATGTTAAGACTGTGTCTTAAGAGCTAGTTTGACCAACTAGCAGTTAGCCAAGGGGTAATCAGTAGGGATGCACCGATGTATCCGCCATTAATCGGCATCAGCCGATAAAAGCAATTATCTGTGCGATCGGCCATCAGCCAATTGTTTAAAAACAGCTGGTGATCAGGGCCGATTATTTCATGAGTAAAAACAACTTGCGTGAAGAAGTTGTGTTGTTTCTTGTGTTGAATATAGGGCTGTCCAAGTTAAAGCAATGAGTGAGTGAGTGAGTGAATGAATGAAGCATTTATTTAGTGCTTTATGTACTACTGTATACCCAAAGTGCTTTACAATCATATCAGGGTCTCTCCTCATCCACCAGCAGTGTGCAGCTGATCCACCTGAATGAAGCGACGGCAGCCACAGCACGCTCCTCACACACCGGCTACAGGTGGAGAGATACTAATAGAGCCAGTTCAGTGGATGGGGATTATTAGGAGGCCATGACTTACGAGGGCCAGTGGAGGGAATTTGACCACAACTTTTTGATACACCCCTACTCTTTATGAGAAGTGCCATGGGATTTTTAGTGACCACAGAGAGTCAGGATCTCGGTTTAATGTCACATTAATGCAGCACCGTTAATGCATGTTAATGCTGACCCTTTGAACCACCCATGAAGTTCAAGCCAGGGTTGCCAGGTCCATGGTTTTCCCTTCACAAATTATTTGTAATGCATCTCCAATCCAATTATCACAAAGAGCTTTGTGCTTTGCTACTTCTGATAAGAAACAAAATGTACAGGATTTTGAAAGATGTGTCTTTGTCACAAAATAAAAAAAAAAATGCTGTTTTGATGCTCTCAAATGTGGCTTGACAGATTGCTGTAGCAGCTTCAGTTCAAGCGACACACGGAGCGCGAGTCACTTCCACTTTAATACAAGTTATAGCACAAAATAAACATGAATGAACAGTATCTGTATCTGCAGATATCATTCTGAATAATCAGCGAATCCGTATAGGCTGAAAATTTTCGTATTGGTGCATCTCTAGTAATCAGTCTTACTTTAAACAGATTATACCAAACTACCTTTTTGTAACAGACTTTAAAAAGTTCTGACCAGTCTTGAAGAAAGAAAAAAAAAAAGATGACTAACTTATTTAGACTAGTCTAAACAGTTTATGCAACAGCCACAGAAAATGAAATACATGCATAATAACATCATTCAGAGAAATAATGCTGACTGCGTACAGACAAAGACATCAAGCTTTATTTCCAAGATGATGCATGGTAAACTTTGAAATTTAATATAATATAGTAACAGTGGCTTGTATTGTAATATTTATTGTATATTTAAATCGATTTATAATACTAGATATACGTTTATATATATATAAAAAGCAGCAATTACCAGGTTTCCAGCGTTGTAAGGCATTTAATAGGGGTGTAACGATCCATCGATATGGATCGATACATTGATTAAATGTCTAACGATACGATGTATCGATGCCACACGTAAAATATCGATATCTGTAGTATAAATAGGCACCTTATTTTGACACTGTCCACATTTTCACCAATGTCCGTCTATGCATCACTGCCAGTGTGTGCATTCCCGTTCAAACCATAGACTGTATAAAAACATGGACGTAGTGTCCGTGAGCTTGGTTCAAACTCATGTGTCAGGACGATAAGACTGCCTGAAAGGGCAGATAGTTGACGGAACTGTTGAGAGCTTGTGAGAAGTTTTCAGCGGGCAGTGACACGCGCACACATCCAAAGCGCATGCATACAGACAGACGCATCTACAGCGCGCTAATACCTAATTGAGCTCTCTTCCGCATTTTCGTGCATGGATGAACAAATACAGACCAAATTACATCAACATGTGCACCTTGGTGAATATCCTAGTAAACACAGTCGGTTAGGCCTATGTCAACTTCTGTCAAAGAAAAAAATCTCACTGATTTTGACTGAACAACTTTTATAAGTATTAATCTATATTTAATCTATACAGTTAATACTATGCAGTGTTATTTTACATTTGGTTATTACATTTCTGTACCTGAAAATTTCTTTTACATCTACCTGAAAAACCTGAAAAGCACTGTTTATTTAATTTGTGTCTTTGTTATATTGTATTTATTTTCTGCTATTGCTTGTAATTTGGTTATCTGTAGAAAAGGTTATTAAGCACTGAGCCCATAGTAGCAGCCAAAAAAAGTATCAAATAAAGTTAACTGCTTTATTTTTGTATTTTTTTTTCTACAACTGGAGTACCTAATTTGTGTGGTTTCCTAATGAGTATTTACATTATTTTACACATTGCATATTTTAGCACAGAAACCTGAAAGACTGTTTTGACTGTGGTCATATCTTAAGATTACTGATCTTGTGTGCGACTTGATTTTTTTTTTTCTTTATTATTTAAAAAAAAAAAGAAAAAAAAGTGTAGGCCTATTTTTTGTTGTGAATGTCCCAATTGAGGATCAGGATGTGAAAATTTAAGATAAATGTTCATGTTATATGTTTTGGTTGCATTTGTGAGTTAATAAAAATGTAGATTGTTGTTTATTTAAGGTATATAATATAATAATATCGATCGATATTCTCCTGTATCGAAATCGTATCGTAGAATTTTTTGAAGTATTGGCAAATATCGTATCGCTGGGTATGAGAATCAATATCGTATCGTGACGAACCATCCAATTTACACCCCTAGCATTTAAGCACATACAGAAATGATATTAAGTATTATTTAGCAAGCCTGTAACCACAAATCAATTATTAAAAATAGCACTTTTGGCAATTCCAAGTAATTTACCATAGAAATATACAGTATACATAGAATATAGTCACCTACAGCCCAATCTCCATAAAATTTGGAAATTTGGATATCCAAAGTCACTTTGGATAAAAGCATTTGCCCAATGTAAATGTGGAGATGGTTTAATTTCTAGCTGTGTGCATAGCATGTCCTTACTCACTTAAAATAATAAGGGTAAAGGCTAATTTATATGCATACATATGCAAAACACATAAATATGTAATTAGTATGTTATTAGTTATCAGTGAATGATGCCCAAAGCTTTCATGCATAAATGTTAAATATTTCTATATTTATGCTATGTATTACAATGAAATAAGCTCATCAGTTTGGTCTGTGTGACCAAGACAAAATATAGTTTAAGGGCAGGTACTTAACTTGAAACTACTGCCGTTTACTGGATTTATACATGTTCACACAGAATATGCATGTGCAAGCCTAACAATCCATTTGGCCCATGTAAAACATCAGTGATCAGCAAAATTAACTACATTTAATCTATAAAGAGACAGTTCTACAGAAAGCTGACCTAAATTAAGACAGATCTACTCTACCTTTTTGAGGACGTACCAGACCCCTACCACACTGCTGATTCCCAGGCATATCAGATCCTTCGTGTCAAACTCATAGTTGACGATCTCTGTGGGAGATAACAAGGACGTTAAGAGTATTTATACACCATACACATGAATGTAGGTTTGTAAATGTCCCAACACTTCTCACCCTCTTTGCCTTCTCCTGAGCCCTGGGTGAACAGCAGCTGGTACTGCTTATTTGGCACATTAGCAGGGAAAACTCTGCACATAAAGGGACTGGGACAGCAACACCAAAAAGGTTAACCTAAATCATTTCATATTAAAAGCATTACACAATTCCAAATCTCATGAAACATTTTAGAAGTTCTACGTAATTTCATACCTCATTGTGTGAGACAGCGCTAATACTCCCAGCACGAAGAAATACATGGACAGCAGCAAGTTAATGTACTCTTGCGAGAAAATCTACAAGACAAAAAATGATTCCAAAAACATTAATGAATGCTTTTAAGCCAAGTTTATACAGTGTAACGGAGCAAAATATGCATATTTCAGTTAACAGAAAAAATATGTATTTTATAATTAAAGAGGTCTAGGGCTGGGCAATATGGCCAAAAAAAATATCACGATAACATTTTTCATATGCCGATAAATGTCAAATCTTTATTTCTTTCAAATTTAAAGGCAGATTTCTTCTCCTGAGTGAAAGTTTTTTCTTTTTTTTTTGTGAGAACATGACAAACACATTTCACAAATCTGAGGTACTATATAAAAACATTTATAATAATAAAATATTTTTCTACATCAAAATATGCATCAGCTAACTTAAGTAAATCTTTTTCAGTCCGTTATCCTTAACAACATCTCTTAATAAGGTAATGAATTTCATAGTTTCTGCATGTTCTAAAGGGTGTATCATGAAACGGGTTTGTGTTCCCTGACTTTGATGGCATGATGCAGATGTAAATTTATGCTCATTAACAAAAATAGTAACATCTGTAAAAATTGTAACAGCCTCATATTAAAAAAAAGATGTAAAATTGAAATATTCTGACTGTCTGAGTAAGGACTCAGTTACTTTCATTAAAATTAACCATTGGTCATCCATAGGATCACAGAACTCAATTATGATAACCAAAGGTAAAACCACAAATAGCACCTCACTATCATAGCACCTGTAACTATATGGTTTCTATGGTTCTACGGTCTTGCTAGAACGATCAGCGAGTAAACGCATCTGCTTGTGCTGTGCTGCCGTTTGAGCAGAGCTGATAATTGGTCTGTGTGGTGCCACTAACAATTATTCATTACGCATTTGGCGCATAAACATTACATTGAAAACTTATCGAACATGTATTATCATTCCGTCAAGGGAAAATCTATTCAATTATTATTGTTATCGCTTTATTGTTCAGCCTAAAGGGTTAATGAACTGCCTTTTTAAAAAATGTTATACTGTTCTCTAAGGTCCACTTTTGCCTCAAAATGCATCATAATTTAGAAGTAATAATAGGTTATTTTCTGTCGTGTTTTTGATCCCCCTCGTCTGAACGCTCCATTTGGATATGCATGGACCATTCTAGACTCGGAAGTAAACGGCCACTGCTACGACTGGCTAAACAGTTTTGCATATTAAAATAAGTTTAATGCCCCCATCATTACACGTGTGGAAAACTTCCGATGTTGGGAAATGGCGGCCGGTGAAATTCAGTCATACATGTTTGAGCCGGAGTCTGATCCCGAATCACAAGACCTCAAATGCCAAGCATACTACAGCCAGTGACAGCATGGTAATTAATAAACCGTATTCATAATTATTCTTTATGTACTTGTGAGGTAGAAGAGTCTGCTGTCATTATACAGTGCGAGAGCGGCCTCACGGATGCCTCGTGCTGTTTGCTATGTGCTGCATGGAGCATGACACTTCAGATGCGGATTTAAAACAGACAACAAACCGTACATTCAGTACACTATAGTACATGTTTTCATATCATTATAGAGCAATTCATTTGCTGACTAGATGCGGAATTAGTGTTTGCAGTCAATGCTGAGGACACTAATAATCGGTTAAAAACAATGTGACCAAAATACACGCAAGTCTGACCGAAATGTTTAATGTCACGATTGTTATCTATTTGCATTAGTTTATGTCCAGCTGGTAAGTTTTATGCATTCACTAGCCAACAAAGTTGCATATTTGAAGCTAGTGACATCAGAAAGCAAATTGATACGTTCATGCAGCTGACACAAACATAAACCAGAAACACATCCAATATCAGTTTGTTTTTATCGTCACAGTAATACATATTTTGTTATTTAAGTGTTCTAAAATAGAAGCAACTAAAGCAGGAGAACATACATACAATATACACATGGGCGTCGGAAGCAAAATAAATGTGGGTGGGTCCTCCCCCAGAAAAAATTTACTGGAGTACATGCCATTTTCTGTAGTGTGGTGCCTTTTAATTAACAGTGTCTATTTACACAAAGTGCAAATAAATAGGCCGTCTGATTGGTAGCGGCTATTTTCTTCACCTTCGCTCACTAACGTGACAACATTTGGCGTAAGTGGTAACGCGGGTTCCGTAGTGTTTTTGATGCGAGCGACCCGAGTCCCCGTCCGCCGTTTGCCGAAATCGTTCTTCTCCCTTTTTACATCTCATATCACTTCGGAAAGGCTTTTGTTTTCAATAAAAATAAAAATCAAGGAAATAATCGAAAAGTTGAAATAAAGTATCAGGTAGGTTTAGGTGTATCTGAGCAGCATATGCTGATGCTTTGTTTACTTTGCTGTGTGGCGGGAGTGCAGCTGGCGCGTGTAGTGAAAACACGGAATGGAGTTTCATTTATATGGACTCTGAATGAGCCGAGTGGAATGGATTTGAGGAAGCAGCAGCGTGGAATTCAAGGCTGTAGCTAAATGGAGTTTAATTTATTAGGGCATTCGTCATGTGGAATGGATTTGACTGACGGTGCTCTGAAAAGTACACACATTCGCTGAATTAGAGACGGTAAAAGTGGGTGGGTCCAATATCATTGGTCTTCAAAAGTGGGTGGGTCCTGTGTCCCACCCTCATTCAATGGTTCCGACGCCCATGAATATTAGGAGTGCTCCGATCAGGGTTTTTGAGGCCGATCACAGGAAGCAGTATCTGCCGATACAGATCTTTTTAAAGCCTTCTTTTATAATTTATAACTATTTATAGTGATACTCCAATCAGGATTTTTAGACATTTATTCAGGGCCTGTATTTTATTTTTGAAAATGGAGGGAATTCCCCTCTTAGTTGACTCTTGTGAGGGGAGAAGCAGCACGGACTGTGCTTTCACACACTGATCCGTGTTTACCACAAACACAACATTTATCCATTATTTTGATTTCAAATCCAAACATTGTCACTGAAAATGCTTTTTCAGCATTGCAATTCTTTTTTTACACAGTACAGTAATACAATCTTTCACAGATGATGTTTAAACACAATAAATATAAGCAACACATTTCCATGTTCATATTTACTGCAAACAATGCACTGTTACTTTAATTCAGCGCGTGCAGCGCAGCAAACATAGACTCAGTGCGGAAACGATCTATGCACTGCTGCAGACGCACCGCTCCTGGAGTGCACTGCCGAACAGCAACCGTGTGCAGGGTGAACGCTTTATTAATCCATTAACATGAGCACGGAAAAAATACGCACCGCATATGCACTGCAAATGGAGTAATGTGAACCTGGCATTATGCGTGTTATGAGTGTGCATGAGCTCAGTCTCCAGGAGAGCTCCCGAGCGCTGAATGGTTAAACACTGGCAAGAATTAAAAAGCAATGCAATTTATAAACTTTAGTGACGATGTGACACTGCCTC